TTTTTTCCTTAATTTCTCTCTCAGTGAGTTTGTCATTGGTGCCCAGGAACACTACTGTGTTGACTTTGGTTCCCGCTATGCTACTGAATTTGGTTATTAATTCTAGCAGTCTTTTGGGAGTTTGGGAGGACTTGTTTGTAGAGATACACATCATCTGGAAAGAACGGCCGGACAACTTCTGCCTTTCCTATCCATATCCTATTTGTTTCTTCTCTTGTCTAATTGCTCAGCTAATGTTTCAAGAGCTATACAGAAGAAGAGCAGTGACCGTGGGCATCCTTGTCTTATTCCAGATTCTAGAGGGAAGGCTATTAGCTTCTTTCCACTTAGTATGATGTTAACTATTGCTTTGTCTGAGGTCGCTTTTAATCCTGCATTACTGTCATCCAGAGAAAATCTGATTACAGTTTTTCAATTTTCTATTTTGTTCACTTATTTTGTTCAAGACTGCCTTAATATGTATATGCACCATCTTTGAGGTTTTTTATGTTTTTGGTATAGTGTCTCACTATGCAGCTTGGACTCATAGAGATCCTCCTGTTTAGAGCCTCCTCAGTGCTGGTATTACACTTTTGTACCACCATTCCTAGACACTGCCTGGCTTAGCACATCTGGGGGTTGGGCAGGCATGGTATGTGATGCTGGGAATTGAACCCCGGTCTCTGTGCTTGGCTAAGCATGCATTTAGTCTGCTGAGTAAGCTCACCCACCTCATCTTTGATCTTTGAATTCTTTTCATTAATAAGAACTGTCTGTGTCAACTTAATTGATCTTCAGCAATATGGGTTCTGATTTTAGCTCTGTATGACCATACCTGTACATATGTATATAATGCTTTTTACTCTAAAGAATGCATCTTTTTACATTATAAAATTTGGTAGCCTTTCCTTTCTGTCTTCTGTTGTGTGCTGTACTTAGAAAGACCTTCTGCCTTCCAAATTTATATTTTTTAAATTTTTTATTCATTTTAATGAGAAAAAATAGCAATGAAACTGTTTCAAAAAGATTAGTAGGACAGTTACAATAATTAATACATCACATATTGTTGTCTTCATAGTAGTTATTCATAGCACAAGATGCAGACATGATAACTTGTCTAAACAATATTAGTACAAACTTTTCTTCTCATTAAACTAAAAGAAAGTAGCTTTATATTTATCCTATTTTGCAATACATATTCTTTTCACTACAAAATGGTCCTTTTTTATATCTCTCTTTATTGCTTTGTCTTGTCAGAGAAGAGGGTTCCACTGAATTTAAATAAGCTCTATTTGGAGATGTCTTTAAAGGACCTTTTCATACTTGATGCCAGTTCAAATATTGTAGGTACTTGAATTCAACAAAATATCCCAATATAGTCCAATAGTCCGTAATAGTAGTGGGTTATCAGCAGAATTTTGTGAAAACCTCAGAGAAATTTTTCCCTCTAGATGACTCTTCTCAGGCACTCTATACACTGTTGGTCACTTTCCTCTATGGCCCCATAATCTCCTTGATCAGAAAATTTGGGACACCATTGAGCTACAGGATGTCAGAGAACAGGTTCATTTATGTCCTGAGTCCTCACTTACCTTGAAGGGCTAGGGCCAAAATATTGGCTATTCTTATAGCCTCTCTTTTTCTCTATTTTTTGGTCTGCAAACTTTGGTTGTTAAACATCCAGAAGACAAGTTTAATATATCATTACCCCATAACAGAAGCAGTTGAGCTTACCATCACTATCTGTCTGAATATCAACTGCCTTAGACACAACATGGAACTGCTATTTTCCAACAACTATGGATATCCTAAACAATAAATCCCTATAGAATGTTAAAAAATTATATATCTTTAAAGTTTTTATTTTTAGAAATAAAATATTTTCTTCTGGTCAATTCATGCTTTACTTTTTAAAATGTCACTATTGAAGCTTCTCTATTTGAACAATGGAGAAATCTTGTCACTAACTAGCAGGCTTTGGTATGTCATGGGGGAGCATACTGAGGATCTGAACAAGGGGCTCCTACCTCTGAGCTACGTGTATTTTTAAATTAATTTTCTTGAGAAATAAATAGCAATGAGACAATTTCAAGACAGGTTAGTAGGACAGTTACAATAATTAATACATTGCATATTGTTGTCTTTTAGTAGTTATTCATTGTACAAGATTCAGACATGATATCTTGTCTAAACACTATGAGTACAAATCTTTCTTCTCATTGAACAGAGAAAAAGTAGATGTATTTGTATCCTAACTATATTGTATATACCTATTTTTTTCACTAAAAAATCGTCCTTCATTTATATCCTCCTTTTTATTTAGTTTTGTCAGATATGGGTATTCCATTGCCATGCAAATATTGTAGGTAAGTGAATTCAGCAAAATAATCCAATATGGTCCAATAATCCATAATAGTAGTGGGTCATCCACAGCACTGTCAATGTCAGAAGTTGTTAACTTGAGCCTTTTACAGCTCAGCATATTAATATGGCTTTACTTTTTACACTTCATGTGTATATTTTTCTGCTGGATGGTTAAGACCAAGATAAAGCAAGACCTATATAACAAGAAATGTAACTTTTGGCCCTAACCCTTCAAGGTCAGTGAGGACTCAGGACAGAAGAGAACCTGTACTGTGACATCCTGTAACTCAGTGGTATCCCAAATTTTCTGATCAAGAAGATTATGGGGCCAGAGAGGAAAGTGATTGGTGATGTAGAGTGTGCCTAAGGGGAGTCACATGGAGAGAAAAAATTCTCTCAAGCTTTCACAGAGAGCAAATTGGTCAAGCAATGGCCGTGACTCATCCAGACGGCTGACACTGACAAAGGATCTACATATTGATATACACTGTTCCAGGACAAATCCTGAGGGGATTTGACTGACCTTGTCAGATACAAAAGTTACACTGAGCTACATCTAAACCTCTTTAAATTTTGTTGCATTTAAGTCAGGGTCTCTAAGTTGCCCAGACTGGCCTTGAGCTTGGGACCCTCCTGCCTCAGGCTCTTCATTAGCTGTGCTCACAGCCCTGTGAGACTGCACTAGGTTGTTTGCTCTGTGTAGCAGTATTTCTCCTAGCAGTGAGGAGACTGAGCACATTCTGAAAACTCTCTCGGTCTGGACTGCAGGGAACAGATAACAGCAGGCAAGCATCTGGGATGTTGATAACAGCTCTGAAGGGTGTTTCCAGTTCTGGTTTGAGCACAGAGTAGTCCCCGGGGGTAGGCTGTGACTCAGTGTGGCTCAGTGGTCCATATTGCACTGCCCAGATCAGTACTCTCTGTGTCCTGTTCCTCTGTCTCCATGTACCTCCCGCTGCTTGCTGAGTCTAAGCTCACTGGCCTCTGCTTTGCATGTAGACCATAACACGGACCACCAGGGCTGCGCTCACCAGAGAGATGCCTCACTGGGACTCATCACCAAGGCCCAGGGCCATGAAGAGTCCCTGGTTTTCTGGAACTCAGTTGGGCCTGAGTTTTTATTGTGGTTGTGATGCTAAAACTTCGTGAAGAGCTGTGTGTGTTTTCCTCTCTCTGGGGTCCACAGTAAGGAGTGGAACAGCCTGGACAGAGGACAAGACAGTGCACTATACAGCCCAAGCAGTTCTAAGCTGTGTTTTCTTTTAATTTATTTTCTTTTCCTTTTTTTATTTTTAAGAGACAGGGATTCCCATGTTACTCAGGCAGGTCTGACACTCCTGGGTCTATGTATTTCTCCTGCTTCAGATTTCTGAGACACAGGATTATAAGCCTGCACCACTGGCCCTGGTTCTGAGATATATTACTACCCATTCCACTCTCAATCAATGCATGATATTTTTCTTCCAAATACCAACCAATTGGTTGTTGCTTGCAAGTGACGATCCTCACTGGTGCTTGTGCTGTCACAGAGAATTACAAAGGATTTCTTTCTCTTTCCCTCTTTCTGCTCCAACTGAGCGCCCTGCCCCTTCACATCAGCCAAACTCTGGTGAACCAAAACATAATGCGGATGGATGGTACAGAGGGGTCACATAGCCTCTAGCTTGGGATCCATGCTAGAAGCTGGTCTTTACAAATTAGAGTGTGTCTGCGCAGAGAACCAGAATGAAAGAAGGTAAAGACATTACAAGGAGGAACATCTTGTTTTCCTCTAGTCTGAAGGCCCTTGCTCTAGTTTATTGTGTGGTAGTATCACAGAGTGCCCCAGCATACTTCATTAATGAAAAATGGAAGTTGATTTCTCACTGTTTTGGAGGCCAGGCAGTCCAATAAGGAGGCATTAGTGCTTGGCTGGGGTCTTCCTGCTGCATCAGCCAAGGAGGAAGTTGCAAGGTGGGAGGGCAAAGGAGGACCCAAGGGAGAGCATAGCTCTTTCTTCAAGCCCTTGTCCTTTTGTGACCTGTATTAACAGCAGAGAGCAGCCTTGAGGACCCCCGCAGCAGTTCTCTATCACACATCGTGCCCTGGTGCACTGGGCAGTTCGTCAGCACATTGTGCTCTCTGAGGGCGTAGCAACACTGTCCTGCTCTCCCTAGCTCATGACGCGGCCTTCTCAGCTTCCTTCACCAGAGGCCTGAATGACCTCAGGTGAGCTTACTGTCAGGGCTCCCCTTCTACGACCAGCTTAGTCTTCTTGTAAAGCCAATGATTTCCCTACCTGTGAACTAAAGCTAAATAATGCCAGCCTTTTCTAATGTGCCTTCCCCTCTCCTTCCATGTGCCCACAACTTCTCCTTCCATCCTAACACCCATGAAAAAGAAGATAAAACAAGGAAGGAAAATTTGTAGAGTGGCACCAGGAGATCCTAGGGACCTCTTCCTTCCAAAATGAAAGCTGAAGGGCAGTGGGTGAAAATAGAGAAAGGTCACAGCACTGGGGATGCCCACTTAGTTTGCTCTGAGCCCCTCCCATGGCCTTCACCCCAGCACCTCACTTTATCTCTCTCCAGATCCACCTCCTTTGCTCCTGGCTCCTCCCCACTGAGCACCAGCCAGATTGCCCTGGTATCTGTTTTCTTGAAAAGTCCAGCTGTGTGCCCTGATGGCTCAGTTGTGAAATACAGCAGGTGACACAGAGGCCATGAAAAGATGGGTGGTGGTGCAAGCCATCCTGCCCCGGTGAGTTGTGGGCTGGTACAGCCTGAGCTGGCTACACAGCCAGGGAGATGCAGCTCTGGTTCTCTGAGGAAATGACTTGGTGGGAGGGAGTGCTGGAGGGGGAGTGGCAGGGAAAGCCCGGGGAGGGTGGGAAGGCCAGAGGTCAACTGGATGCAGCCCACATTTTTCTGCAGCAGCCTCCTCCAAGGCAGCCTATTGGGCCCTAGGGATGCTATTCGAATTTAGTGGCCACTTCAGGCATTTGACCTTGAGTTGGTGACCTCCCTCTGGGTGCTTGCTCCACCCTAGTTATTCATGGAAGCCAAACCTAGAAACATCTTCAAATGTGATAATCTGTGTAAAAAAGATGCGAACAGGCATCTGGGAGGACAACAGCCCACATGCAGGCCACTAAATCCACCTTCTCTGGAGAGGCCTCTGGGGGTTAGCTATTGAGTGGCTGACTGGCTCCTGTCAGGGAACATTTACCTCTTTGGGCCTCAGTTTCTACATCTGTCCTATGGGCATCATAAGCGAGCCTGCCTCCTGGGGCAGGGGAGATATTGGGCCATAAAGTATATCTGACATGTTTGAATGTAGGTATGTTGGGGGTGTTGGGCACTATCAGCAGTCCTGGGGTGCTGGGGGAGACCCCTGAGGAGCTGTCTGTGTCCTGAAGGGTGAGTTGGAACTTAGCAAGCATGGACGCCCCTGGGTGTCTGCACAGGGACTGACTGAGAAGTAAATAAAGATTAGGCCTGTGCCTGCAGTGTGGAGTACAAGAGAAGGCTCTCCCGCATCTACCTGTTCTCCAGAGACTGGGCTTAAAAGTGGTGGGACTTCCTGTTCCCTCTTTGTATATGGATGAATGGATACATTGAGGAGCAGGCATTTGCCAAATGTTCTATGATACAAAGCTAAAACAAGATGCAGGATGTGGCAGCCTGGTCTCAGGCCTTCCCTGGGTCAGTGCCCACCAAGTCCCTGACACAGGTAGGGCATGAGCATAGGGGGCTACAGGGCCTGAGTGTGGGCTGACAGCTGGGCCTTGAATGGGGATCACTCAAGTAGGGGACCCTGTTGCCCCGAACCTCCTGACAGCTGCCTCAAGGGTACATGACCTTCTGAACTGCCATCGCTCGCATGTGGGACCTGCATGGAGGAGTTGGATGAGGCTGGAAAAAACAGGATGAGGCTATGTGGGACAGTGGGTCCTATGGTATCCCTGAGGGCACACTATGCCTTCACTAATTCCTTACTTGATGAGAAAGTATACAAACTGTGGGAGTTAAATAGGCCTCCTGGCATCAAAAGAAAGAGGATCCTGCAGGCTTGGAGGAAGTCAACAATCATGGTATGGCTGAGCAGCTGAACCCCACACTTGGCTTGGGAATCTTATTCCAGGGCAACCTGGTCTCCTCCACAGGCCAGAAAAGAACCTAGGCCCACAGCCAGGATGACTTGGGGAGGTCCTGAGGGCCCAGGAATAAGGGTGCTCTGTGCTGTCTTCTGAGGCTGCCTGGGTGGGGCTAAAATCATGAGTTCTGGGGTGCAAATCTGAGCTCTCTCACTGAGCAGCTGTGGGGCTCTGTGCACCTGAGATGTCTTCTGTGCTGAAGAGGCCTCACATGTAAAAGTATGAGTGACAATGGCACAGGTTGTTATGAGAAGAATGAAGTGAACAGAGGCATGGAATGTGGGCCACCAGCAGGGCATTGCACCTAACACCCTTGAACATGGGCAGCGATGTTCAACCAGGCTCGGGTTCCCACTGCCATGCCTGGAGGGCACACTAGTGCCCCTCGTGTCATGGGGCCACCAGAAGAGGATGCTGCATTTTGGCTGTAAGGACCAGCTCTGCTTGCTGGACATCCATGTGGGAAGAGGAGAAAAACAGGCCCTTAGGCACAACCTGAATCAGGGAACAAGTTTAGACTCCTCAGAGGTACTGATTTGTGTCAATGCCCACAGCAGCCTGACTGAGTCCACAAACCAGCCAGAGATTTTCTACAAGCACAAAGGCTAGCATTAATCTCCCACCATGTAGAAGCGGGCCCAATGACCCAGATAGGTGAGGTAACTTATCCAGCATTTGAACCGCTGGCCCCGGGGGCTGGCCCAGGATCTTACCTTGTGTGGCCAGGGAAAACCTCCATCACTTTGCATAAAGGGAGCCAAAGCAGTAGCCTTGGTCATCCAAGCTTAAAACATTATGAACTGCAGTACATTGTCTTAGAGCTCTGCAGTGAGAAGCCTATAACAATGTGTTGAAAACCTGGGGTTTAGCTCAGTGGTAGAACAAGTACCTAGAAGACCTAGGATTTGACACCCCACACCACAAAGAAAAGAAATTAAAGGCACTGTAGGCTTATCTCCATCCCAAGGCTTCAGGGAGAGTCTCTTCTGTTCCCCTCACAGCTATTTCAGGGCCCGCATGCATTAGCTCAGGCTTCTCTTTCTGTCTCTAAAGACAGCAGCTTCCTGGGGCTGGAGGCATAGCTGAGAGCAAATCCCTTGCTGGGTATCATATCTCCAACACTCCATGAGGTACAAACAAAGAATAAAACACCAGCTTCTTGCTTCTGGTGTCACATCCTCTCCTTTGACCCTGACTGTCCCACTTCTCTCTTACAAGGGTCCTTGTGATCACTCGGGACCCACGTGGCCTCAGAGCCAGCCTCAGGGCCTTCACTTAATCATACCTGCAGATCATTTTCTGGCTAAGGACGCATTTGTAGATTCCAAGGATTGGATCAGGGTGTGGATGTTTCAGGGCTTGACTGGATGGGCATAAGGGTGTCATCCTGCTTCAGTTCTGTCCTTGCATCATGGAGTCGCTGAAAGGTAGGTGATGGGATTCAGGGACACAGTAGGAAGATCCAGAGAGATTGCTGTGACAGGCAAGACTACCAGGATACACCCAGGGCTGAACCTTCTTCACTTCATTGATATAGAAGCACCCCCTGCACAATGTGTGTGGCCTAAGGTGGAGGTTGAGTGGTATATGGGTGTTGGCTGGAAATTTCATTTGGCATCCAGGGTGGGTGGTGGGCGACAGCTGTTGGTGTCCTCTGACTTGCTCTACTCAATGTGTTCAGAGGCTGCGGTTTAGCTCAGGGATAGTGCAAGTGCCTAGAAGACTCAGGATTTGATGCCCAGCACCACAAAGTAATAAAAGGCACCAGAGGTTTATCTCCATCTTCAGGCTCCAGAGAGCATTTTCTGTTTCCTTTGTGCCTTCTTGCTGCACACATTGGGTCAGTCTCCACCCTCTGTCTCTAAAGACAGCAGCTTCTTGGAGCTGGAGGTGTAGCTCAGAGTACATCACCTACTGGCTGGCCAATCTTTTTAAAACACCACATGAAGCATAGATAGAAGACAGAAGCCTGCCGACTCGGCCCACAAGTTGAGACGTGGGGTAATGACCTGGAGGAGGAACGGGGATGAACAAGACAGGGCAAGAGACACAAGAGATGGAGACAAGACAGGCTTTCTGATCAAGTCTTGTTTATTGAGGAAGTGAGCAGGGTCTAAATAGCTGTATAGTGGAAGCAGTTGGGTGGGACTTGTGGATTGGTAGTGGAGGTCCAGGACCACAGGAAGATGTTGAGGCAAGCAGGGATTGGTGCTGCAGCACTTCTTGCCCAAATAAGGGAAAATATAACAGGAGCATTCAATCACCCCCCACAGCCTGCATCTTCTTGATTCTGTTGTCATCTCATCTCCTTTGGTCCTTATCATGTTCAGAACTGCCCTTAGTGTTTGTGGGATTGATCAGGACTGCATTTTCCAAACAAGTGTATGGTAAAGCTAAACAAAAAGAAGCAAATCAAAGCCCCCTCACACAATTAGATTCTTCAGGGTTGAAGCAAGAGCTTCTGTGGGAAGCCTGTATTTACTCAGTTATCAGAATAAGGGAGGGGAATACTCAAGAAGGGTGGCAACACTCCAGGACTTCTCCACATAAGGTATTAACTCATCTAGATGAGAGTTCTCTGAGGCTGCAGTCTTTATCTAGTTGAGGTTAGACCCAGGTGTCCTTGGCTGTGAGCTTGACTTGTCCTTTCAGGCTCTCTGGCTTTGCCCACCATGACAGACCCAGCAGGGATCAGTGACTCACAGAGGTTCACTCGCTATTAGTCCACTGCTCATCTCAAGACAAGGAGCCTCAGCCTTGACAGCGCACAAGTATACATGGATAGCAAGTTGGTTGATTTTGGTCTTTCTCAGGGTTGCTTTGCAGTGGTCTCTTTGAATTCCTACTTGTTGCTTTCGTCATTGCAGCAGTGGAATCCTAGCTAGCTAGCATTGTTGGGTTTGCTGATTCTTTAGTGGACAAAGAACTGAAGTGAACCGCACAAGCCTGTTCATATGATCAGCCCATTGTAGAATCCATGATGGGTCTCTTGGCAGCAGACTTCACCACTGGTTTGACAATCTCATCTCTCTATGCCCACTTGTGGTAGGATGGCATCCAATATGATTATTTATGAGAAGTTCTAAATTCTCTGTATGAGGTGATTCTCATGGAATTTGTTTTATTCCATGAGAATAAAACAGAAGGAATCTAGCATCTTACTGTTGGTTTCATCTGTATGAGTACTTGGATTTTGGTAGTCCCTGGGAAAGAATAACCAATTTTTTTGGAATTAGAGCTTCTGTAGCAATGTTTTATGCATCTTGTGGTTATACTTTTTGGCTGAATGCTCAAGACCAAGTTAGAGTGGTATGTGTATTAAAGTTAACTTCTTGCTATCTACCAAGATCAACTAAATCTCCTCAGGATTTACCTTGGGGCTATTTACAACACCTCTCAGAGCTCCAGTGGCACAATCAGTTAGCACGTGGTACTTACACTAAAACAACTCTCACTTCTCCTGTCTGTGTCAGCCCTCTGGACAAGTCATGGCTATTGCTTGACCAAGGTGCTTTTCAAAAGCTTGGGAGCTTTTTCTCTCCTGGTGATTCTCTCTCCTGGTGACACATACTATACACCAAGAATCATTTTTGTCTGTGTCCCC